GATCAACACGTCATCCCCAAAGAGGTATCTGGTTTCCAGCTCTCCGTCTGTATATTTCTCCTCAGCTCTTTGTCACATTATTACAGCCAGACAATCAGACGGTTGAGTTTTCATCAGGTTTATTTTAGAGAAGAAACAATAATTAGCAGGTAATAAAGAAACCACAAAGGGAGATATACGTTTATATATATATATATATATATATATATATATATATGTATATATAAAACAAATCAATAATATTAGGAAAGTGTATATACTGTGTTATAAAAGGCTAAGGAATTGTTGTCATATTTCAGACCTTGGTGATCTACGCTTTGGGAGTGGTCCTGCAAGACTCTGACACCTGGAGCACCCCGTACAGGTTGGCCTCACATGGGCGAATGTTTATAGTTAAAATATAAAAGCACTACATCCTGTTTTTGTTTTTTTTTTCTCATGCTTGAAATATTGATTTGTCTACTGCCTGATATGGTGATTACTGTGACATCTCTCAGGTTTGACCCAGATCGATTTGAGGAGGAATCAGCCAGGAAGAGTTTCTGTCTCCTCGGCTTCTCGGGGAATCAAACGTGCCCAGAGCTCAGGTAAAGACTGACAGGAACAACCAGTCCATGTGTTGTTATTTCTCTAACTGGAGGCTGAGCAAATGATGAGAGCGTTTTTTTGGACCCACAGTGTGGTCATTTAGCTCCAAAAGTATGGTGATAGTCAATAGACATTTCATGCTTTTATTGGAGTTGTAAAAAGAAGTTGATCTTTTGGGAGAAAATGTTACATTAAGTGGTCAGGACTATCTCTCTGTGATTGGATATCCTGCATGCTTCACTGAAACCTTCACAATCCATTGTATCTGGTCTGACAGGTTCGCCTACACTGTAGCTACTGTCCTGCTCAGCACGTTGGTGCGGCAGCTGAAGCTCCACAAGTTAAAAGGACAAGTCATGGAGGTCAGATCTGAGCTGGTGTCCACGCCTAAGGATGAGACCTGGATCACTGTCAGCAGAAGAAGCTAGGACGAGTCTTTAAAAACCACTGAAGAGTCTGACCGATAGACATCTGTCGAATGTTGAGAATCCAGTCTGTTAGAGAAACATCATTTTTTGGATTTTTGTAAAGTACAGTCAATTTGTTTGTTACACCAGCACTATATCCCTCACATTGTCTTCCTGGTGCTATTTCAGCTGAAGCCTACAGCACATTATTACCTTGTGTGTCCACAGGTTTCTATTTGCACTTGTTGAAAGACTCCATCTATTAAGGCAAACTCAGAACCTTAATTCTCTACGACGTAGAGAAAAACAACTTGTGCCACCAGAAGTTTTTGTATAATTCCTACAACGGCTGCCTTGAGTCAGTATTTCTAAAGACATGGGGCTGCTTTGTCTTTTAAAACAGGCCACATGGCGTTTGGACATTTCATTCCTTTTTGTAAAGACGTCTTGCATATAATTAAATATGTTTGAAGATTTTGTGTGTTTGTGTCATTGTTTTCATTTTATATTGTGTATCACTGCATCACAGTGTACCCAAAAGAATTCAGTGTTAAATTGTGTTTGCAAAACATGGAGAATCTCATGTGTTATAAATATATGTTTCCAGCCTTCACACATAAATATTTAACTGAATTGAATTAGGCCTGAAAGTAATCTATATTTTCATTATAATTTTCTTTTATAAATAAATATTTAATCTAGTATAATGTCAGATGAGGGAAACCATCAAAGTCTCACATTTGAATAGCAGGATTTGCTTGGAGAGTGACTTCAACAATTAATTGATCATCAAAATTGTACCTGAACAATTTTCTGTTGATTGATTTATCAATTAATTGACCAATCATTGCAGCTCTGATTTAAATATCACAGCTGCCATGGCTGGATTAACCTCATAGAAGCGTCATTATCTCTCAAGACACCCAAGCAATTAATCAATTGATTTGATTGACAGAAAATTAATGAGCAAGAATTCTGATAATAGATTAATCCTTTCAGTCGTTTTTAAGCAATAAATAATTAGATTATTTAAATAATCTAGTTTTGCTTGCTGCTCTGTAACTGAATAAAAGAGGGATCACTTGATCAGAACTGGAAATAAAATTTGACAAAAAATATGACTACAGTAAATCTCTTACAAATAATCTCTGGAGGATTATGCAAACCACATAACCTCAGAAGCATTTTACCAGTTGGGAATCTGCGTTAATGCGTTTCTGTTCTAAACATTATTAATTTTGGGAACCCCTGCTCTCCACCAGCTGCTGGGAGAACCCCTGCAGTACCGCACACGGCCGCGGCGGCGCCAGTGAGCACTCCCCCCCACACACATTCACACACCGCTCCGCTAAAGATGTGAAAATGGCGGAGCTACAAATGCTTCTGGAAGAGGAGATTCCAGCAGGACGAAGCGCACTACTAGACAGTTTCACTAATTTGGAAAGAGTCGCGGAGTACTGCGAGAGCAACTATGTCCAGGTAGGCTGTCACATTTGTGGAGGAAAAGACGGTGTGGTTATTTTTTTGCTGGCGACACCACGGCAGGGCGAACTGATGCTGGGCTAGCTGTTGCTAACGCTGCCGATGTGGTTAGCTAGCCTCGGCTAAAGCAAAAACAACCCCCTGTCAGGACATTTTTTCATATAACTAACGCATAATCTGCCACTCCCCATGCTGTATTCATGTAAAAAGGTATCAGCATTGTTTTGGGTGCATATTCTCATCGACATAACGGTGTGTGTGACTTGTACATCCATGGTGGGCTACCGCGTTGGCCAGGTTGCTTGCTAGCCAGCTGCTCGGCATCACCCATGGTCTAAATAGCCAAACAGGGACCGTGAAAATCAATTTCTCTGCTCTTTGCGGGATCAATCACTCCCGCTACAGCAGCCAGCTGATCAGGCACCGGCAGGAGATGTAGGACGCGATACCAAGCCAGATTAATCTCCGATGAGCTTTGGTTGACAGAAGATAAACCACTGATTTATGATGTTGGACTCTTAATGCTGCAGCCACACATACACTGAAAATCATGTCTTTAACCCATTGAAATGCTTAAGTGAGATGCTTTTTAGCTATGATTACTTATTTCCATTCATACTCTGAGCTTCAGGTTGTGTTTCTGTGTCAGCATAGTCAAAAATTGCTGCTGATTTGCATAGCTCTTTGGCTTATGTGTGTATGAGAGCAACTGATCAGTCCCATTCAGACCCTTTTATGTGAAATGCTGCAGGTGTGATCTCACTGTTTCAGCAGTCTTGGTTACCTGAGCCTCCTCTCATCCCAGCCTTTACAGGCCTGCCTTGATAGGTGAGAAAATTTGGGGCTACAGTGTTAACAAGGAGAGGTTTTGACAAGGTGTGATACTAAAATCTGACATCCTTGATGAACAGGACTGATCAAGTCTGACAGGTTGCCCTGTGAAGGAGGAGGCAGTGGCCGCAGCCCTTGGATGTTGGCAGCTTGGTGTCTGGCAAGCTGCCCTGTTTTCTTTTCACCCTGCAAGGTTTACCCAGCTGCTGTCAGACGGGCATTACCACTAATAGATTAGTCAGACAGAAGTATTCATCAGGGGGATATTTAGAGGGATACTTCATCTCTGCATCTTAGTTCCAATTCACAGCTTTGCCCTGCCATGCCTCTCTCTGTTAGTCATGTAGGGATGGACACTTGTTGAACTTCTTCATATTTTCTTATACTACTTTGACAACACATTCTATCCTTAGATTTGTGATTTGGAAATTATTCTCATAAGTGTATATTCAAGGAGTTTTTATATGATGATATGTTGAACTATACAGTAACATTTTTAAGAAATCTGATGGGTCCCATATTGTTCAACCAATTTCCTAGAAACTTTACTAATAATTTCCTAAAAATTAGCTGGAATTTAGCTGTTAATTATTATGATATTTCCAAAAAAGGCCTGTGCAATTTGGTACTAATCATAAGCATTACTTGCTACAGTTTGAGTTTTTAAGAAAAACTAAATTAAGTGAAATATAGCTCATAAGCAGATGTCTATATCCATTGGTGTTTCCTAGAAACACAAACAAATATAGGTCAATCAAAAATACCTCCTTTCTGCCCGCAGGTATCAGCTACAGATACACTCCTGACTTTTGCCACGTAACCTGTTTGTCCTCATTCTTGGGAAATGCTGCACCCTTCACACTCCTTTAAATGATGCTGTTTGTTAGATTACATTGCACTTTGCAATTCCTCAGAAATTTTTCTTGCATCACAAGCACAGTTTGTTTCACATAAAAGGGAATAGACATGTATACTGAGGATGCTGCTGTTTCAACTGGAGGGGACACCCCTGTTTGTTAGCTATATTGCAATGCTTCTCATTATGTTCAGTCTTTTTCAGTTTCATATTATCTTGTATCAGTTTGGATTAAATATCAGATCAGGATTTATTCTGATTCCACTCACATCTTTATGGTAAAACATAATGAAACAGACTGAGTTGTACAAACAATCGACAGGTTATATCTTTGTGACAGAAATGGAAACAGAGAAATCTATGGGGGGAATGGATTTGTTTTGGGCTACCTTGGCTTTGCAGCACAGCTATAGATTTAAATTGCAAGAATCAAACGAAACCAATCAGTCAATAACCAATCACGATCCAAATGCTGCTGTGTCCTGGTGTGTGTTTACTTTCCATCTAGTAATCAATCTGCTGCTTTGCTGTGCACACAGAAGGAGGTGCATGCTGGCTGATTAATGGTTTTGTTGTCAGGTTGCAACTAATGTTATTTTCATTATTAATTACTCTGCGTATTATTCTCCACATTAATAAATTAAGACGTGAGGAAATGGTGAAAAATTCAATTCAGTTTCCCAAGGAGACGCCCAAATAAGGCTTGTTTTGTCTGACCACCAGTATAAACCCACAGATCAGCAAATCCTCATATTTGAGAAGATCCATCAATTGTTTGCTCTTTTAATAACCCAATGTGAAATCTTCACATTCCTCAAATTGTCTGACAGCAGTCTAACATCCAAAGAAATTCAGTTTCCTGTCACATTAGACAAATAAAAGCTGCAAGCTCTCACATTTTAGAGGCAGGAACAAGCAATTTTGTGGCATTTTTGCCTTAAAAATGAATGTGACTATAAATTGATGATCAAAATAGTTGCCATAGTCTGTCAAAACTCAACCCTGCATTGTCAGGCAGTGTCAGTGAGGAGCAGAGTCTCCCAGCAGTAACATTAGCTGATCCATCTGCCCTTTGATGTGCCTGTGAATGTGCCCACGCTGTGCCCACGGCCCAACCAGCTGCCTCATCAGACTCCTTTTACACTGGCTGCAGCTGTATTACCTGCTACTCACTTCATGGCCATTAAGTGTTTCTCACAAAAATGTTCATTCCTTACCTTGAAACCTTGAAGCAGCAGTTTCCCATCATGTTGCTGCCGAATTCAGTTTTTTTATTTTTTGGATGCACAACAGTATTTCCTCTGGGATTGTTCCTTTTCTGTTCTGTGCTGTGAGAATTATAGTTATTGGTTTAGGTTTTATAAATCAAAGAAGGCACCCAGTGTGTTATTTACATCTAGCATCTGATAACTTCTTTTAACACCCTGTCAAAAATATTTCTGCTGCAAAGAATAGTCAGTCAGTCAATTAGTCTTTTCAGCCATTTTTCAATCAGGAAAGCAAAAAAATTCTCTGGTGTCAGCTCCTGATGGGAAGATTTACTGTTGTCATATTCAATAGTAAACTGAATGTCTTTGGCATCTGGACTGATGGTCAGATTAAAAAAAAGAAAATTAATGATGTCACCTTGTACTCAGGGAAAATTATAGTAGGCATTTGTTTTCTCACGTTTCGTAAACAGAACAAATAACCGATGAAGCGATTATGAAAATAATTATTTTCAGCCCTGGGACCGATACACACACACTTGAGCTGAGTGACAGCTTTTCGTGAAACCAACCAAATCAGACACTGTTGTATTATTTAGCTGACTGTTGAAAACTATCACGTTTGCCATTATCACTGTTGGTGTCAACATTTTAACACATAATAAGAGTTTTATGTCTCCTCTTCATTTCCTTACGTCAAGTTGTGATTTTCATGTGTCACAGCTGCATCACATCACACACTGATTAGAGCTGCAACAATCAGCTGAATAATAGAAAAATTATCTGCAACAATTTTGATATTTGATTAATCGTTTAAGTCAAAGAAAAATGTCGGACTGTTCCCACCTACAGCTTGCCAGTTGTGAGGATTCTTTTTCTCAGTCTAAGCTGATAGTAAATTTATTATGTTTGGACTTTTTGATGCACTGTGATGATACCTCTGGTGTGCACTTTGCAGCATAAACAGAGAGAAATGGAAGTCAACTTTTTTTGATTCCATCAGAACTTCATGTTTTAAAATAGTGAGAAATACAAAATGAAAATGTGCAGACTCTGATGTCAGGATGACTTTGTGGTGTA